AAACTGCCTCTTCAGCTGGGCAATAAGCACTCCGTGTTCTGGAAAAGTAAAATACTCATACTATCAGAAAATCAGAAGTACGTATTAAGTTTTATTTGTGTAGCAGAAAGTCCTTTGGGTCGATAGCCTTTCTCTATAGGAAATACATTTTTTTTATTTGTGTAGTTTTCTAATTATTCTAATATTTACACTCGCGCCCCACAGTCCCCCATTATCTCAAAATAAATACGCTATCTGCAATCTGCAGAGTCGAAGCGGTCTGGATTCGTTCAAAGCTCGTCTGATATACGTATTGGTCGGAGAGATTTGGAAATATCTCTATTATTCGGTAAGGGTTATATCTTGCGAATCTCATTCCATTTAGATCGGCAAAGAAAATTAATAGGTTCGCATGAGATTTGATATTGAATAAAAGTTTCGCAAATAAATTCAGTCTTATCGGAAATTCACACCCGATTCACTTAGGTGCAGTAACGTTGAAAATAAGACAAATGGATATGTGTCGTGTTGTCGGGAGTCTCGCTGTTTTATTCCTCATGCTTGTTATTTTAAAACGTATGCATGGATAAACGTTAGAGCGGCAAAGCCGCAACAGTTTTAGCCCATTTACGGACAAGACTTAAAAACTGGGACTTATCATTTGCAACCTGCAGTGCGGAACTCGGGCTTTGTGGCTAAATGTTATATTACGTAAGAATAAAGCTCTATTTATCGTAAGGAAATTTCGAGATACACGGGGTGGTCCGTTCAGTGGATTGTAAAATAAATGCAGATTTTGGAAATTAAATAATAAGCTTTGGTCAAACATACCCCCAAGTTACTGTTTCTATTACAATTTGAAATGTATTCAAGTCCGTGAAATTGGGCCATTATCAAATGACCATAACAGTGAAAAATATATCTAGTGAAATTTTCATATCTAATACCAAATAATTCGATAATAATTTCTATTACACATGGTGTTAAGATAATGCTGTTGCTGTTGAACATGATATTTCGACTTTGCTATAAAACAATATTTTTGAGTTATTAAAAAGTCATTTGGCAAATTACTGGTATAGAAAAATATTTCAAATAAAACATAATTGTGATAACAGTTTTTTTTTTATTTGCTGATGCACCTAATCTTAGATTAACAAGCATCGTAAATATAACCCAAATTACTAGAGTTAGCTAACTGTGATATTCCTAGCGGTCCATCAAAGGTTTTTGCACGTTTTCGCGCACTAACCGGTTATGGTTAAACCGCACTGTACTCTGCTTTTTCACGGTTCATTCCATATTAATGTCCACAAGCTCAAACCGTTTAGTCCTTTTGAGCCTCCTCACTAGGTTCTGAATATGTCTAGCACTTCAACACTCGGATGGTTGTGAAGTCTCTATTCATGACTCTTGGTTGCTTTCGCTATTTCTTTTTTGACTGTCCGCATCTGTAGCTCACGATCCTCATTCCGAACATACCAGGGTTCCTTAACAAACAAATAAACTTTATTACCCGGTTCTGGAACACTTGTAGGCAATTGAAATTGCTTTGTTTGGTACAACCTCACAACGGAATGCCATTGTCCACACTGGCTTAAGGACTTGTTGGTAAACCAGTAGTTTGTTTTTCATCGAAAGCTGCGAACCTCTTCCCAGCAGCCACTACATGCTTTTATATTTGAGTTTTAATGGTTCAGTCTTCATTTTAACGTGAACTTTCCATCTAAGCTTGGCATTAAAGCATCTAAGCTCGGCTTAAGTCCTAAATATTTACTAGTTTCTTCGCGAGGAATTATTTTGTTATTTAATTCCAACGCAACATGATTTATATTTCTATTTGCAAAATAGATGTTATCAGATTTATTTTCATTTAATTTAGTTCATTGCATTCAGGGCAGAATTTCATACTGCTAGAAATGCATCATCAGCAAATGTTGCTACTTTTATGTTATTTGTTATGGGTATATCGCAAGTATACTGGGTGTCAATTTGAAAACTTTCCACCCTTAATATCTTTCTTGCAGTTGAAAATATGAAAAATCGGAAAGACCCGCAATTTTATTTCTAAGGGGGACACTTTGACTGAATATTTCTAGCCTCCTTGTTTCAACCCCGCTAGGACGGGTAGATGTCACCCTTATAATCTTAAATGGGAAGAGGGGTCAAGTGGGACATCGTTTTAAAGAGCCTTCAATTCTCTTTACATTAGTTACGACTTTGTTGATTTTTGTTCACAGGTTTTCGAATAATCGCGTTTCAAAGTTGTAGAAACAATTAAACTTGTGTGCATTCAGATATTGGTTTTCAGGTTAGTGTTAAATCGTTAAAGGTTAAAATCGTTGAATAACAGGAAGAAAATCTAGTTTAAACATTGATTTCTTATTTTTGATTTTGATCTTATTTCTTATTTATTGATTATTTTACATCGACAAAAATAACTTTTTATTTGCCGAAGAGAAATTTCTACAATTAAACCTATCTCATCTACTTACGCATTATCTTATTAAATTGTTCAAAATGTTGTCCATTTTGCTGTAAACAATAATAAAGTCTGTTTCCAAACTCCTCTCTAATTTTTCGGAACACTTTACCGGGAATTGACCGGCATTCTGCTGCAATTCGCCTTTAAAGATCATCAATATCAGCAGGTTCTGTTTTATAAGCCATGGGCTTAAGATATCCCCAAAGAAAAAAGTCAAAGAGTGTTCAATCCGGTGTTCTTGGAGGCCATTCAGTTGAAACCCTTCTGCCAATCGATCTTTCCGGAAATATCTTATCAATGTTAGGGAGGCTTCAAAAGTAGACTTTAATATTGTTTACAGGAAAATAGACAACATTTTGAACAACTTATAAGATAGTGCGTAAGTAGATCCCATGGGTTTTATTGTAGACATTTTTCTTCATGCATGCAAGTTTAATTGCTTCTACAACTTTGAAACGCGATTATTCGAAAATATCTGAACAAAAAGCAACAAACTAGTGTAAAGAGAATTGAACGCCCGGTGCTCAAGTAATGTATGTCTGGCGGATTTTCGGATTCTTTACAATTTTGCCTTAAAGTACACTTAAAATGAAGCAGATTTAACGAAAAAAATGCGGATAGTCCATAGAATCATGCTAGAAAACATTTACAAACTTTGATAAGTTCTCTTCTATTACTTCTGTTATTCTATGTACTTGATCGACTGTAGAGTGTTTCTTGCGAAAGCCAAACTGATGATACCAGTGACGAAACAATATTGGTTACAATTAAGCAAATTTCATATTAGGAAAAATTACGTCGCTATTAGATTCTCATGAAGGAAGCACATCGGCATCCTTGAATTACCTCATATATTTATGGACTGGAGAAGGTAGCGTTAAAGCGTAAGTGTGGTTAGTTTTTTAATTGTAGTCTTCAAAATTAGAAATGTATAAAAGTGTTCAAAAGGCATGTGCTTAACCTTCCATTGGTCACTGTAAATTGGCAAACTCTTCGGCATAACAGATTCGCAAAAAGACCATTACAAAAAAGTTTTCTCTGAAAAGTGAAATTGATCTGACAGCGCCCGAAGTGCTGATTGCTGAAGTCCTACTGAAGGTAGTACTCATGAGCAACTATTAAAACTATATTGTACTTAATGGAATCAAGCACTAACCCGTCATGGAACATAGTTTAAAGGGTCCGCACACATACTTTTAAATCTCGAACGTTTAAAGAAATTTGGTATTAGGTTGTAGTTGAAGAAGGACTACATCTCTACCCACCAAATGTTCGCATTTTACCAGAAATAGAGAAGAACTGTAATAAATTGTGCCGTTTAATTATTAAATGGTTATAAAAAGTGCACGTATTTAGTCTCAATCTATTTGTATAGATGCTTTGGGAAAATATTCTGGCCAAGTTTCAGGACGAGTGCAAGTACAGCACTCACACATAATTAGGAACTATCGTAAAATCCGGTAGACAGTAGTTCAAGTAGAGACGCTTTTCTTCAGGGCACGTCCGCCACGTCAGCGCAGCTCTATTAGAAACAACGAACCAAATATTCTTTTAACGCAATTTAAGTTGCACTTTCTAGTAAGGTAAGGATAAAGTATTTCTAGAAAGGTCATCTAAAGCAGACTGAAAATTTTGCTGTTCTTGATTCAATAAACTGATTATACGTTTTACGATTAGATGCGTAATGTTTCGTTTTGTTTGATACTAAATTTTGAAAACCACTAGGGATGAAAAGTTAAGAAAGCTTTTGATGGAAACAATAGAAGATTAGTGATTAGTATAATAGAAGATTAGACTACTAATTAATTATGGGGCGTTTGATAATATAAACTCAAATTTTTCATATCTTATGCCTTTAATCATTTGCCCTTTTTTTGAATGACGTCGCTCAAGACGTGCTGATGGTAAGTGATCGCATCAACAGGAATACTATATCTAGGCATAAAGTGTTCTTTACTAAGAAATATAAATTTTAAGTGAAATTGAACTTAGAAAATATATTTTTTTATAAATTTAGATTTAATAAAGTCTGAAAATAGTACAAATTATGTAACTTAATTTCTCAATAAAAGGCTTGATTAAAATGACCATGTGTCAGCAAACCACTAAATATATCGAAATGTGAGTTTTAGCATGGAATTTGTCTTAAGACAGTCCAGACTCACACCATATTTATCTTCCTAAGGTAAAGCCACTAGTGCTTGGGTAACATAAAACAAAATTCCACGACGGCATAGAAACCCGAAAAACTCACCACCTTTTAGCAATTACTACAAACGATTAACTCTTTTAAAACCTTTGGCGTTTCAGAAATTTGTGATAACTCCTGTTGATCACATTAAACAACGTCTTTTTTAGGCCACATAATTGCATCAGATTATCGAGTTATTCAATAAACTTATGTTATCAAATACATATATTTAATTTTACTAACAAATGATAAAGTATAAACCAAAATATAGGCATTTTTATGATGATCAAAACACAACGATTTATGAATATTATGCTAATTGTAATATAATTGTCTTTGTTTCAGTGTGCGCGTGTTAAAGTGGTTAGGCCGTTTAGGACTAACTTTTCAGTAAATTTAGTAACAAAGCAGAAGAATGAAAAAGACAAAACCTCAAGTTCCTCCTCAGACACTGAAACTGACTCTGATTCGGAAGAAGGTGAGTTTCACTATTTTTTTCAATATTGTTTTTGATAACCAGCTGGATTTAAACAGAAGTAACGGTTGGCAATATTTTATTATAAGAAAAATAATGTCTGAAGTAGATTGTAAAAACAATTCCGCTTTCGCAGCACATATTAAAAACTTAACTTCTAGCTAAAAAGCATTAGAGTCATAAGTCACATAAGTCGAAAACATGGGAGACACGAACAGAGCTAAAGTCGTTGCTAAAGTTATTTGAAACAGGATAAATGACATCGCATCTTGTGCGAAGGAAGTTTTAAAGTGAAGCAATGTGCATTTGCGTTCGAAACTAATCATGTTATTCGAAAATGCTTTTGATCCATGTCGGGAAGAATCAGATAGAAAATAACCGAGACGGTATATTTCAAACTTACATACTTTTTATGTATATTAATTTCGGGACGTCATTTCGACCTTAAATTTACGTTAAATTATCGGTATACTGATAACGATTTCTGAGGTTACTGGGGCACGTCGATTGAACGTTGTAAGGACGTTATTGTTTTTCTATACTTTTGCAGCGCATTTAACTTCAATCATCAGGAAATTATTTTGTCGTATTCGTGGATTATTGGTTCATCTAAATAGAGTTGTTTGTTGATACAGTGTTTATTATAATTACTTGTAGATATAAAATGATAACATTTTCTAAAAAATCAATAGACAAAAGTTCACAAACAAACAAACATATCAGAAAGACCATGAAAGAAACATTGTCCAATTTGAAAAATCACATGAAAGTAGGGATTTGGATCACCTCATAGAGAAACATCTGATCAATGTCGTTTTGCCTTTTCAGCAACGTTTAGCAGTTTGTTAGCCAATGCAGAACATTTATTGTGTCTTGTGTCTTGTTGTTTGTGTTGTCTTGTAACTTTAAACAATTGTTATCTTAAATTAACTTGCAAACAGCTGTATGGTTGGTAGAAGCATTTGTAGCATTTCCAAGTGAGTTTTAATCGATTTATATTAATATATTTGTTGGTTAGTACATTTTAACAACAATTTAAAAAAATGCACGGCATAATGGAAATTTGCTTTCTATTAGCGGATGGGCAATTATTAAAGTATACTAATATTTAAGGTATATAAAAAATCAGACTGCATGTTGAAAGTGACCTATATATTCGTTTCGCTAACGGGACTGTAATTTGTTCTAATTTGTTGTTAAATAAACGACAACCTCCATTTGTCGGTGAACATTGTCCCCAGAGCCGATTATCCTTTGTTGTTATTCAAACGATGCCCGATTATTAACTTGTACGCAAGAGAAATTTGAAGTTGAATCATGAATCATTTCGCAATTGAACAAAAAGAAACACATCTGTCAGATAAGATAAAATTCGCAAACTGCTTTGTTCCAGAGCTGGCGCGATAATATTGTCTTTTAGTGAAAAATGGAGTTTGTTTTAAAAAGCGCCAAACGTTTGCTCTGCTAAAAGGAGGAAACATATCAATTCTTTCCCATCAATAGAACTCCAAATAGTTCATGAGCGGAAAAACAATATGGCAAGTCATTAAATGAAGCGTTTTCAATGGCAAGTGAATACTAAGTTATTCTCACAATCAATATTTGCCGACAATCGCGAATAATAGACATTTGTTGTATTGGGAAAAAAGCTTGAGTTTGATATTGCACGTTTTCCAATTACACCGATATTTTGCATTAGTAAGTTCTTCCAATTAACGATTGTGCTCAGAATGAGGTAAGTATTTCACCTTATTTTTTAATAAGTGTCAATCTTTTTCAGATCTCTCAGTTTTTTTTAAATTTATTTTTGTTTATTTTGTTTACTGGATCTCCTACTGTTTGCTGGATTTTTATAATTTCCATGTCTTCTTCGTTTGATGTTGCCATCATGCATTAATCCCATTAAGCACGTCGAGTACTTTAAATAATTTTTTCAAAGTGTTTTCTCATGTCACGCGACTTGCTTGTTACTACTGCCTCATTGAATCACGTATGCTTTACTACTGTTCTTCGCTTTCTTTTTTCAGCATCTTATCCTTTCTTTCACTTCATTTTGTCGCAAAATTCACTAAAACTCATTCAGTCCCTTTGACCCAATACCAGATGAAGGTCTATCGTATCTAAATAACTTGTTTACACTCTTCAAGTATGAATAAAGATGGGCAAAACTCTGGGATGGGCAGGCTTTGGAAAATCAATTGTAAACAAATAACATTTGACTTGTTTTCATCTAATTATTCTTCCAAATAGTTTTACGTCTGTTGATTTACGCCTAAGGCAACAAATATTTACCATGTTGAGAAAAAAGTTGTGTTTTTCAGACGCATCGCATACTTTGTTCTTATTCAGCCTTTTACAAAAATTGCAAATTTTGGTGATAATTATTTGTCTTTCTATTTTTCACAACTCTTCAAATACCCCCCAGACCACACTTACAAAGGCATGACGCCAGTTTTCAATCGCGCAGCATTCCGGCGAATTTAAAATAGTGAAAAAATAGCCTTAAATTAAATTTACAAATAAACAAAACACTGTCTTATTTGAATGAAAATGTTTGTAAGATTAGATAAGAGACTATTTCATAAGTGTACAGAAGAATTTTTAATCTTGAATGAAAGTTGTATCTTCGAAAAATAAATAAGAGGACCGATTTGTAGAAATATTGTTTTGTAGCTTGTGTGTGGTAACACATATTTTTAGACTTTCGCACATCGTTCTATCCAAGTAAAAATAGTCGCGATGGTATTTTGAGGTCTGTGTGTTTTCCCAATTTAATGTCCGCTTTCACATCCAAGGTGCTTTAACCCACTGACATTAAATTTAATTTTAATGTTAATTGATTCTAAGGCTTTTATAGCTCATGCTATCAAAGCATTAGAATCAATTATTCTTCTTTGGTTATTAAACTTCGGTTAATCATAAATTTTACTTATTGCTTCTGTAAGTCCATAATTCAAGTCAATGAAAATGGTTACACAAGCAAAATTTTGGATTTTCAGAAAGTTTGAATTCTTTCATATAATTGTAGATTTATTAATATCCTGCAAAATGCCCCAGCTTGCATCGCGAAAATGACAAAATTTTGTTAAATTCATAATAAAAAAAACTATGGAGAAGATGGAAAAAGTCTCGGCAATCGAACAGCAACGCTAAACAAGGTTTTTCGAATAAATTGTTAATGCCAATATCCGGGCAGGTAAATATTGCAGCCTTGAAAGAAAATTTAGACAAGTGGGGCACGTAGAAGACCTTCCCAGATCTGATCGATTCTCGATTTGCGAGAATAAGAAATTAAACGTTCTTTTGTCTATTGAGAGAGATTCATAAACTAAACTGCTCAACAAAATATACGTTACACGGAAAAATGTCGACTATTTTTGGAAATGGATAAATTCTGATTCTGAGAGCGATTTGATTTCTGTTTGAAGCGTTATTTAGTGCAATACATTTTCGGTTAGTGCGTGTTTTTGCAAAAAAATAGTGGTTTATATTAAGTTTCTACTGGGTGGCAAATGAAACAATGCAAAATTGGAGAAAGTTCCATATGCTCTCAGTTGACAAAAAAAGTTCTTTTGCATTTCAACACCACAGGCGCAAAGAAGTTGAAATTCCATTTTCAACTGTTAATATCTTCTAGGAAATTTTCAAAACATTTTTTAATTATTTTTTCGTTCTCTCTAAGTGAACCCCTTTAACATCTTAAGAGTAATGACGCCAATTTTGAATTACCCTGTATAATACCATTTTTTGAGACAGAAATTACGTATACAAAACCGCATACATTTTACAATACGCGACGATACAGCACTTACAGTATACTAAAAAACTGCCCTTAAAGCAGTAGAATCGCTCCAAACTCTGACTAACACTACTTACGTCTGAAGTATTGCATGCAAATAGAACGCAATGAATTGTGTGCAATTCATACATAATACATACTTTTTTATTACGAATTATAAACTATATACAAAACAACAGCTCAAAAGCAATTACCCCATTTTTCTCACTCTGTATATAAATGTAATGTAAATATGTCACTGCACAGATTGTTAAGATGTGAAGTTCTCCCTTCGTTCTCCAGTTTCTGTGACGTTTCTCTTTAAATGATGTTCTGCTCTTTTCTACAGGGACAAGGGATTATTTCTTGTCTCTGCTTTTCTATTTGATGTAGGAAATGTTTTATTTGCAGGAGTTTTTGGTTCCTGTCCCCATTATTTGAAAGAAATAAAAATAAATAATTGTGTAATTTCCTAAAATAAATTTTAAAATATACTATAAAAAAATAAACTATAAAAATTTGCCAGTCTTACATCTTTTATTGTGAAGACCATTCTTTTTTTGAATTTCGACTTGGCAAAAAATGGGCGAGCCGACCCGATTATCATAATGATGTCTTGTTGCAAAGCAAAAATCTTTAAGAATTACTCAATTATCATTCAAAGTATTTTATATAAAGCTAAAGCTCATATGAAAAGCTTAAAGTAAGCTTTTCATATGAGTTTTTTTCTTTGATCCCATGGTTCAAGTGACTCCTGAAATCTACTTAATTTTTTTTTATTTACTGTACGTACATATCGACGCCCCAATGTTTATAGGACGAAACCCACAAAAAAAATGTTTTTGCGTTAGAGACGAAAAATCGTGCATTACTATTTGCTGTTAATAATAATTATGAGAAAGAATGAAGTACAGAAATAAATAACCGATGAACATTGAGAAAATTAAACATTACACGAGCAAGCAATTATTAGAAGGTTTTAGTGACCCATGTACCAATTGATTAAATTAGCTTACAACCTATCAGCATTAGGATATCGATATGTGGATTAAAGCAACTTCTTTTATGATGTTTTGTTTAAATAAAACTCGCACTATGATCTAGATCTATTTATATTTCAAAAATCTATGCCTATGTCGTAAAATAAACGATAAGCATTCCATACATCTTTCATTGTCGCCGAATTTATTACACTTGTTCATACCATTAATCTATTAACCGTTAA